CCAGGAGAACACGACGGCATGCAGTTCCACTTATCTCCCACCAGCCGGATGGGGTGCCCCTTGGTCCTATATCCTCTGACTGTCCTGTCCAAGACACCAAAGAGAAGAAACGAGGTTCAAGGAACCTTGTAGGCAGGGTCGTGGGCCGGGCTGCTTCAAACAGGGAAGGAAGGCACTAACTTTTTAGCAGAATTCTAGAGCCAGAGAGTACGTTTTTTTCTTGAGAAAAAAAAAGCCTTGTGGATGCCTTGGACGAACGTTCTTGCAATCATCTATCCCGACACGATACTGCCACCTTTTTCCAACTGTATCCATCTCTGACTCTTCTGTCCCACCTTCAGGTCACCTTGAAGGTGACCGGAACCTCCCCTGGGGCTCCGGTTTGGACTTGGCCAATTTACCTGTTCTCCCTTAGAGAGTTTTGCTGCCGTCACTCCCCACTCGAATCTCTTCCACCCTCCGTCCTTTGTTCTCCATTCTCCTCTGAGATCTTGCACCCTGAAGGTAGCTATGGCCATTCTGCTTTCCCTGTCCGAGCTCACTGAGGCTTGATCCTGCTCTGCCAATTTCCCGGTCTTTCCTATGCGGAAAGTTTCAGTCAGACCCTGAGCTACTAGGAGATACAGGCTGGTTTCTCCCTTAGACCTGGGAATACCTCCCCAGGGGTGGTGGAGGACCGGGGCCTCTGTCCCAGTCAGGTGGCTCCCTGAGGTCAGGAGTCTGTGTTGTTTTCTCTTCCTCTGCGGAGAAGAGCAGGGCTCCTTTATAAAACTATTGGTGCCCGAATTATGCAGAGCAAACTCTCAATATGACATATATTATCTTCCACAAACTTTTTTTGAGATTTACTATGACAGGCACTGCTAAGCATGTATATATATCTCTATTTTCCTGAAACAGCTCAGAGTTATTATTTTATCCCCCTTTGAGATGAAAGGCTGAAGCTGGAAAGATGGTTAGCACCAGTCCAAGACAGCTTCACTTAAAGTCACATTAAAGAGTGTGGACTCTGGTTGGAAGGCTGTAAGAAGCCACTTGAGGTTTCCAGGAAGAGAGCCGTGCCAGATATTCCCTGTTTAGAAAGGTAACCCACACAGCAGCTCCAGGTGACCGAAAGAGGTGCGGCCTCTGGAAATTGTCTTTCTGTTCTGGTCTCCAGCGCCAGGAATATGTTGTCTTACCTGCGATGGTGGAAGGCAGCTGGAGGAGGCGGAGGAGAGAGAGGAGGCAATGGGCAGAGAGGGTTGCTAAGCTTGCCATTCCACTGTTCCTAGGGACAGAGAGCCCCGCAGCAGCATCAGGCAGAGCAGAGGCCCTTGGGGTACATGTCCCATGCACTTAAAAGCCGAGGGAGGATTGTACGGCAGCGCTTGCCCAGGCCTGCCTCCACCCGGCGTGCCACAGTGTGCGGTAGGAACAGCCCCACGTCACCCTTGCCAGGCCTATACAAAAGGCCTACAGACGAGGCATGACCAGGGTTGCCTCCCGCCCCCGGGGAACGGAGCAGCGCTGCCTGGTATGGGCTTTCCCCCCGTCGTGCCCGGAGGCACGGCCTCTGAGGGGTTTCTGGGGGCTGATCTGTGAGATCCTCACTCACTGACCTCAGGAAGGGGTTGTCATGGAATCTAAAGAGATTTTGGTGGCTTAAAAAAAAAAAAAGAAGAATTTAACTTGGTTTCCTGATTTCGTTGTCTCACAAGTTATTACCAAACCATTCTTCTTTGTCTGACCTCCCTCCACGACAAATCCAAATCCTCCATGTTGTTTAGTATGTGCGGTTCTTGGGGCTTAGTTAGATTCTTGCTCGAAGAAATGCTTACGGATAGAGTTGATTGCGTCAGAGAGCAGGGCTGGAGGAAGAGGATGCGGGGCAGCGCTGTCAGGCTGGAAGGATGGGACAGAGCCACATGGGCATGTCCCCAGCCTTGGCATTGCTTTCGTTCCTCAGTGTCAAAGGAAGTAGATCCAGATGGAAATAGGACTTATTTCTTATCCTGACTCAACTGAGACCTTGCAAGGGTGACACCAGCATTGGCATCAAGTTCAAAAATATATTTTCCATCTTAGGGCGAGCATGCATATCAAATAAAAAAAGGGTCAAAATGGACAAATTTAGAGCCACATATCTAATGCAAGTAGTCGCTTGCCCAAGTGGACATTTACATTAAAATTAATTAATTTAAATGGAAGTAAAATTAAACATTTTTTCCTTGATTGCACTAACCGTGTTTCAAAGCTTAATAGCACTGTAGTTGGTGATTACCAAGTTGGACGCATAAAACATAGAGCGTTTCTTCCATCGTCACAAAAAATTATGGTGGGCAGCAAGGGGTAAAAGTATAGCTGGGACACACATTCTTGCTTTTGTCCGGGATGGGTGTGGGGGATAGAGACAGATTCTGGTCACTGATCTGAACGTTGCTTATTCTTCTCCTGCAAGCAGCGGAGTCTGGCACAAGCAGTTTAGCTGCCCTGGAGGCTGTGTTGGTGGAGAGTCAAGGTCAGAGGGTGAGTTCCCATGGAAAAGGGGCCACTGTGGGATCCCTGGCTTTTTCTAGATGAGGATTCACTCTTTGGAACCTAAAATATCCTGATACTCTTCCTCCATGATGAACATCCAGGTAGGAGATTATGAGAAGACGCTTTCTGGGCAAGGGTGGCAGGTGCTTGCAATGTCCGGCACAGCAATGTTCAAAGCTGGAGGGGGTGGGTAGGATGAGGGATGGAGAGCAAGGAGGTCAGGAACTAGCCAATCAAAGCACTCTGGAGAAATAGCATCTCGAAAAAAACCAACCACAAAAACAAAATCCAACACTTTACTGAGAGGTTCCCGTGTGTCGCTGTTCTAAAGCGGTTACTTACAATATAGCTCACTTATCCTCCACAATAGCAAGACTATTGACTATTAACACTCTTATTTTACAGACTAAGGAAACAGAGGTACAGAAAGAGTGAGGGGCTAACTTGGTTCAAGGTCACCCGCCAGGGATGGCACAGCTGGGATTCCAAAGCAGGCTTTTAAGGCCCAGAACTGTACTGTGACACCACGCACCAGCCTGAGGAGCTCACCTTACTCACTCCATGCCTCAAACCTCCTGATAGGCAGATTCCTGGGAGCCGTGGACAGTCCCTGGGATGCTATCGGTCTTTGGCAAAGGTGATATACACAGGGGAAGGGGAGGAGGGGCCACCAGCAAAATTGAGGCCCTAGGTGTTTCCATTAAAGAAATCTGGGGTGCAGGAGCCATGATCGTGATGTGTTCAAGAGGTCGAAACCATCCTTGTATCAGTCAGAGCTGGCCACTTCTTTTCAGCCTTAAATGTTATTAATTGATTTCAAGTTTTCAGTTGTTCTTGTTTTGTTTCATCTCCTCAATAATCTCGTTTAATCTGCATCTCTACCAGCTGTCTATGACAGCCATATACAAAGTGACACACTCTAAATACAATGAATGTGTATGATAATCTAGGCACGCTGTCCCATATGTGAAATAGTAAACATCAGTGAATGGTAGCTACCTAACAGTTACCCAGTAACAGTTTACTGTGTAAGATTTCAATTAATGGTAAAGTATATATTTACACTATTTGTCTATTATTGAAAATGATCATAGATACATTTCTTTTGTGTTGTACAATAATGCATAATTTTCACATTATACGATAATATCTTTTTGTACTTTATTATTATTTTTTTTCCTCAATCTTTATTTTCTGAGTAAAAAAAAAGCCATACACAACGAAAAAACTGACAAAAGGAGGACAAGCCTCAGGATGAGCAGAGACCACATGGCAGGACACAGCTGCGGCGCTACTTGGGTCTGCAGAGGACTTCCCTGGGCAAGTCTGAGCTTGGATTTGGGTTGCCAGGGAAGATCTCCAGTGGAAACCACAGGTGCTTTTCTTCCCATTAGAGTTGTTGCAGAAATCTTGAAATACTGTATATGTGTATCAATACTTTGAAATTACAAGTTATTAGACTTGCTACTATATTACCACTTTTGCATTACTTTTGGTAAAGAAATATTTGTCACTATATCACAAATTTGCTTATATGTTGAAAACCGTATGTCAATACAATGATTTTTTCATAATCTTATTATATTTTATGTGCATATTTAAAAGCATTATTCTGGAAAGGGGTCCTTTAGGCTTTTTCAGACAGCCAAAGAAATTCATGGTGCAAAAAGAGTTAAGACCTTTGATATTCAAATCCTGCAAAACAAGATTCCTCCTCTTTAGGTGTGCAAAGACTGTGTGAGATCTGCACACCGGTCTAATGTCATAAATCCCAGTATAGAACCCTCATGTACACTGAGTGCCAGGGGAGCAGAGTAGGGTCACCTGTGGACTCAGGAGGAGAGGCTATTCAGGAAGGTTGCTCAGAGCAGGGACCATCTGCTCTGCCCATTGCCATCTTATTTCTGCAATGTTTTCTCTACAAATATTTGTATGTTCTTTTGTTACAGGGATTGTCCATATGCACTGGGCAATCAGTAGTGGATAAAAAGGGCAGAGACCATGTTCTTGAGGGGTCAACTTCTACTGGGGCTTGGTGGCTCTTCACTTTTCCTCCAAGAAGCCTTCCCTGATTAGTCAATGTTCTGTACTCATGAAAACTCATCCTGCCGTGGTAGTGCAGGACATGATGTATATGTCCTTTGTTTTCTTGATCAAGTATATATTTCACCTTCTCACTAAACACTAAGTTTATGTGCAAAGCATCTGTTTACTTCCCTTTTGTAATTCCCGAGAAGAGAAATGACGTGCATAAGGAGTTAACAGAATGCGTTAACTTTTTTTGTAAAGCGGTTAGTATTATACCTGGCAAATAAAAGCAGTACATGAGTATTTATTTTTATCTCACCAATCCTAACTGCAAATTACGACTTTTTCAAAGAAAGAAAAAGAGAAGGGGGGCTCAGTCCCTGTTCCCCCGTGACTGGAATCCAAGTCAAACACTCAGTTGACCTGGGAGGGCCGGACACACCAGCACTCACCAAAAGTCCGGTGGAGATTCTCTGAAAGGGAAACAAATGGAAATGGACTCAGTGGGGTGCTCAAAGGATCCTTTCTCCCCAGAGTCTTTGTTATTTTATTGCTTAAAACTGATTCTAGTCAAGACACTCTATAGAGAAAGGACAACTGGAGGATTTCACTTAGGGTAGGGGAGGGCAATGAGACTTCCCACAATTCTTGGTGGTTATGATTTGAAGTAGTGAATTTTCCAACTGAAGGGAGGACAGGGTACCAGGAGAGAGGCAGAGGTGGGCCAAGAACATGACATTTCAGTTGTGCCAAAAGACCAAAAGGGAAGGATTGGGAGAGAGGGGCCTGGAACTCACCTAGCTCTGCTCGAAGTTTTCCTAAAACAGAAAAAGGCAACATTTTAGTTCCTGGCTAGGAGGGCCTTGCACCCCTGCCGGGGCCACCCACAGACTATTCTCCGCAGCCCTGAGGCCCTGAGCCCTGAGAGGGCGGGAAGGGCGCTGAGTCAGTTCCCGGAGGCTCTGATTGCTGGCTCTGATCTGGGTTAAGTAGTGGAATAAATAATTCAAAGGACAGGCCAGGCATGGTGGCTCAGGCCTGTAATCCTAGTACTCTGGAAGGCCTAGGCGGGAAGATTGCTTGAGCTCAGGAGTTTGAGGCCAGCAAGAGTGAGACCCCATCTCTACTAAAAATAGAAGGAAATTATCTCTGTAACTAAAAATATAGAGGAAAAAAAAAGTTAGCCGGGCATGGTGGTGCGTGCCTGTAGTCCCAGCTACTCAGGAGGCTGAGGCAGGAGGATTGCTTGAGCCCAGGAGTTTGAGGTTGCTGTGAGCTAGGCCAATGCCACAGCCCTCAAAGGACAGTTCCCCAAACCTAAGGGAGTTTCTGATACCTCCCCACTGCTCTCCCTCCTCTTGGCAGTTCCTAGTTCACTCCACCACTCCTGCCTGCCTGCCTGCTGGGTTGCCCTTTGGTGAGTTCAAAGCCACTTCCCATCTGAATGAGGAAGGAAGAGCTAGATATTTAGGGAGCAGCCATGTTGTGACCAATCTGTACCAGGCACTTTACATGACATTATCCCTTTTAGTTCTCCCCCAAATTTAGGAAGGATAATGTTTTCTCCCACTTGACAGACATGGCGACTTGGGCTCAGAGAACCTGACAATTTTGCTCAGAGCTCAGTGCCTGATGTGGGGTTCAAACCCAGGCCTGGGTCTAACATTCAGGTTCTTTCTGCTCAGCCATGTGGGCGGAAGGCCTTTTCCATGTGGAGGAAGTAGGCAGTAGTAGGAAGTAGTAGGTAGGAAGTAGGAAATAGATAGTAGTAACCAAGCATCCAGGAAGAATTCAGGGGAGAGAAAAGACGCACCGTTGATCTCTCTAATTCCTGCACCTCTCCCCATACCCTCCTTGGTGCTTTAGCCTCTTTAACAAGCGGGAGGTGAGCGCAGTGAAGGTCCATCTTGCTTTGGCATAGAGGAGACGCCTGGAGAGGGAGAGGGCGCGGGAGGCAAGCTCTGGGTGCAAAAGAGGAGCTTCAGGGACAGCTGAACCTGAATCCTCAGTGTTGGATGGAGAAGAAGGAGGAAACAATTTTTGAACACCTACCATGTGCTTCATTTCAGAGTCTTTAGTTAATACTCCTAATAGCCTCAGCCTGTCTGACTTTGAAACTCACACTCTCCCAGTTGCAAGGAGCTGCTAGGGATGATACAGCGGCCTGCGCTCTGCCACTCATAAGCTGTGTCACTTTGAGTGAGTCACTGAGCCACTCTTGGCCTCAGTTGTCTCCTCTGTAAAATGGGGTTATTATGTGCCATACTTACCCCATAGGGAAATGCAAGGCCCTATTACTCAGACGAAAGCATTCAGTAGCACTCTGGAGTTCTAAACCCAGAAGTCACTCAAAATAACTGTTAACTGATGTAGCTCCAAGAGACCAGCTCATTTTAGCGAAGGATCTTGATCCGCCACCCGCTGCCCCGTCCCCGTACCTCTCAGTCTGTGCTGCAGGCAGAGGAAGAGGAGGCCCACCGCGATCTGCAGGAGGAGCACCGGCAGCACGGCGATGAGAACCAGCACTCCAGGGCTGACCCAGTAGAAGGGATCTGAAAGGCAGAACCCACATTGCCCAGCGTTTCATCCTTAGCCGGATAAAGGAGTAAACATTACTGTGGTGTGAAAAAGGTGACACAGAATTGACACTGGAGGTTAGCCTCAAGGAAAAGTGGTCTTGTTTCCAGGCATGGATAGTGGTTTAAAACAGCAGTCCCCAACCTTTTTGGCACCAGGGACCGTTTTCATGGAAGACTATTTTTCCACAGACCAGGGGGCGGGGATGGTTTCAGGATGATTCAAGCACATTGCATTTATTGTACACTTTATTTCTATTATTATTACATTGTAATATAGAATGAAATAATTATGCAATAATATATAAAGAAATAATTATATAATATATGATGAAATAATTATGCAACTCCAGAGTTGGGGACCCCTGGTTTAGAATGACAAGTGGTTTAAAGCCAAGACTGCTGTTTGGGGAGTTTTAAGAACAGGCTGAGGAACTCAGATCTGATCTCAAGGCCACGGGGTGCCTTGAGGATTCCTAAGGGGTCTCACTCTTGCTCAGGCTGGATGCCAATTCCTGGCCTCAAATAATCCTCCCACCTTGGCCTCCCAGAGTGCTAGGATTACAGGCATGAGCCACCTCGCCCAGCCAAAATATCACTTATGTTCATCACTATTTTGAAATGACACTAATTTATTTGGGCTACCCTAAATCTCATTATTTTAACATTTTGATAATTGTATTTCAGTCTAAATGTTTCATTTTGTGTACTTAAGACATTCTTCTGAAAAGGGGTCCATCAGCTTCACCAGTCTGCCAAAGGGGTGCATGACACTCAAAAAAGTTAAAGAATCCTCTCCTGGAGCTTTTAAGAAGGTGGGATGTGCAGGGTTTGGTCTGCTCAGATATGGAGTAGGATGGCCATTGAGGGAGGGGTGACCTTCACCTCTCTGGCTCCCCCTCAGCATCCCAAAGGCTACCTGTCTAGCCTCAATGCTCCATGCTGTAGTTGAAGCCCTTTTCATCTTGTTCTCTGCTTTAGGGGGGCTACATAAGGAGACTGCCATGGAAGAAGGGATTAAGTCACAGCCAGCAACATTAAATTGGTCCAGGAGGATTGCTGAGGTATAACTACAGTCCTTCAAGCTGCAGACTAAGGCTCTTGTCTACTTTTGTGTTCCCCAGGAGAAAATGCAGCAAACTTCACCTGCAAGTCCTTAGTGAAAATTACCCATAGCAATGTGATTGAGCAGGCACGTATTTAAGGTTTCTTTTTCTCTAATTTGCACACATCTTATACATTCACAAAGGATTAGAATTATAAAAAAGAGGCTAGGCACAGTGGCTCATGTTTGTAGTCCCAGCTACTGGGAGGCCGAGGCAGGAAGATCGCTTGAGCCCAGGAGTCTGAGGGTACAGTGAGCTGTGATCACAGCGCTGCACTCCAGCAGACTTTGAATCTGATCCCGCTCAGATCTATCAGTTTACAGGAAATCCAGGGCATGGAGGACCGAGCTAAACAGCAACACAAAATGCAGACCCTGGGAAACCCTAAGGGCAAACACCAATGCATGGGTCCTATTTGGATCCCATTCAAAGAGATCAGCTGTCAAAGTGCATTTATGAAACAATTGGGGAAACCTGAACACAGACTGCGTTCTTGAGGATAGCAGGGAATTTTTGTTGATATTTTTAAAGATGTGATAATACTGTGTTTCACCAAAAATAAGACCTACCCAGGCCAGACTCGGTGACTCACGTCTGTAATTCTAGCACTCTGGGAGGCCAAGACAGGCGGATCGCTCAAGGTCAGGAGTTGGAGACCAGCCTGAGCAAGAGTGAGACCCATCTCTACTATAAATAGAAGGAAATTAATTGGCCAACTGAAAATATATAGAAAAAACTAGCCGGGCATGGTGGCGCATGCCTGTAGTCCCAGCTACTTGGGAGTCTGAGGCAGAAGGATTGCTGGAGCCCAGGAGTTTGAGGTTGCTGTGAGTTAGGCTGACGCCACGGCACTCTAGCCTGGGCAATAGAGTGAGACTCTGTCTCAAAAAAAAAAAAAAAAAGCCCTACCCATAAAATAAGCCCTAGCAGGATTTCTAAGCATTTGCATAATAGAAGCCCTACCCTGAAAATAAGACCTAGTGATGATCGTGGCTACGCAGCGCATCTGCACAACTCATGCATGTCGTTGAGGGTAAAGAGGTAAAGAAGGTGAGCAGCCCTTCTCATCTGCCTCATGTGACAGCTACTATCCAGAGGTGACCGGAAAGGTGTGGGCAGCCCCAACAAGGTCGGCTCCCCTGTCAGGTCCGGCATCCTGTGCGTGCTGCAAGCTGAGGCTTTGAGGGGAAAGTCTCCTCGTGAAGTGAGGAGCAGGAACTCTGCTGTAGGTATTGTGTGTCCCAGGGAGAGAAGGAAAGCTGTGGCTGCCATTTACTCAGCACTGTGGGCCTCTGTCGTCCCCCACAGACCACGAGCATAGGGAAAGCTTCAGCAGCAGGTCCTGCTGAGCCAGAGAGATCATTGCTGCTCCACTGTGCAGACTGGACCCAGTGCTCACTGATCTCTGATAAATAAGCCAGCCCTGTCATTTAATGAGAGCTCTAGTGTTCGACATGAGAGATTGGGTCAATGGTTCTAAAGGAAACAGAGTCGCAAGCAATTCAGGATGGGATCCAGGGTTTGGAGAGTTATGATGATGTTCAGAATAAGGCGACTTAAATATATTGAATAAATGTAGATGTTGTACCGTCTTAAAAAAACACACATCCCTGAAAATAAGCCTAGGTGTCTTCTTGAGGAAAATAATATAAGACCCTGTCTTATTTTCGGGGAACACATAGTATTGTGGTTTTTATTTATTTTTTCTTAAAAAGTTCTACATTGGAGTGATCCTTTCTGTGGATTTAGCAATGAAATGATCCTGCTTCCTAGACTTGCCTCTGCGGGTGAGTAGGGAGGGAGCAGCGCACTGGCTGTGAACCAGTGCTCCTGTTTGTACCTGTGGCAGCATCGGAAGCTGACTATGATGCTCTCTGTCTGCGCCTTTGTATTAGTACATGTTTTTAAGTTGCGTGATGGAGAGTTAAAGAAGGATTATAATAATCCAATAATGACAAGAAAAATAATAGGCAGCACGGTGGCTCACGCCTGTAATCCTAGCACTCCAGGAGGCCGACGAGTCAGGAGTTCGAAAACAGCCTGAGCAAAGTGAGACCCCTCTCTACTATAAATAGGAAGGAATTACTTGGCCAACTAATATTATAGAAAAATGAGCGGCTGGTGCGGATGCCTGTGGTCCCAGCTACTTGGGAGGCTGAGGCAGGAGGATCCTGAGCCCAGGAGATTGTGGTTGCTGTGAGCTGGGCTGACGCCAGGCACTCACTCTAGCCTGGGCAACAAAGTGACTCTGTCTCAAAAAAAAAAATAAATAAAAATAATAATCGTCAAAAAGGGAGATCAAAACGCTTTCAGTGGCTCAGGCCTGTAATCCTAGCACTCTGGGAGCCGAGAAGGCGGTCTTTGAGCTGAGGAGTTCTGGAGCAGCCTGAGCAAGAGCGAGACCCCATCTCTACTAAAATAAATAGAAAGAAATTAGCTGGACAACTAAAAATACAAAAAATTAGCCGGGCATGGTGGCACATGCTGTAATCCCAGCTACTCGGAGGCTGAGGCAGGAGGATCCCTGAGCCAGGGTTTGAGGTTGCTTGTAGCTATGCTGACACCATGGCACTCTAGCCCAGGCAATAGAGTGAGACTCTGTCTCAAAAAAAATAAACAAATGCTTTCCAGAAAAGAGGAGATGTATTACACCGGAATTTACAATAAACAAATTACTCCATTTGTTTTTTTTTGGTTTTTTGAGCAGAGTTCACTTTGTTGCTCAGGCTAGAGTGATGCATCGGCGTCAGCCTAGCTCACAGCAACCTCAAACTCCTGGGCTCAAGTGATCCTCCTGCCTCAGCCTCCAGAGTAGCTGGGACTGCAGGTATGCACTACCATGTCCGGCTAATTTTTTATATATATATATTAGCTGGCCAATTAATTTCTTTCTATTTAGAGTAGAGATGGGGTCTCGCTCTTGCTCAGGCTGGTTTTGAACTCCTGATCTCAAATGATCCACTCGACTCGGCCTCCCAGAGAGGATTACAGGCATGAGCCATGGCACCTGGCCTCCTTCATTTCATTACTAAATTTGTTGGTTTCCTGTCTCCTCAGGCTAGGTGAATGGTCCTGTTTACTTGTAAAACCGTTTTTTTTTTTTTTTTTAGATTCTTAGTGCAGACTATGAGAGGGGAGTAGGGGTTGGAATGTGGAAAGCAACTCAAAAGAAAACTTTCTCCCCTGAGGCAAACTTTCTGAGTCTCTCTCTCTCTTTCTTTTGTTTTTTATTTTCTTTTCTTTCTTTTTTGGCATGGTGGGACAGAGGGGCGTGTGGAGGAGGCAGCTATTGAATTAGGAAGACACTGAGCGAGAAGGAGGAAAATCTGCAACCTGGAGCGGTTTTCACTATCAAACCTCTTGGCAGGTTAGAATTCCCCAATAAAAATGCTGTGTGAAGAACATTCTATGGCATACGAGACTATTTTCATGTCCCTGCAATCTGCCTGTAGAAACAGTGTTCTGTTATTTGCACATAATGCCGCCTTCTGGTCCCAGCACTGCAAGGGTCGCCTCCTAGACATGGCAGTGAAGGGTTGTGTGCTTTTTGCACTGCAGGTGGTGGGGAGGGGAAGGAGGGGTCTGAGGCTCAGGCCCTTGGATCATCTCTGTTCTTCAATTAAATAGTGGTTCACTCTCAAAGGCCCCCCTCCATCCACTTCACCTTGTCCATATCTTAATCATCCTGAGAAAATAAACTCCAAGATCATCCATCGCACAAAACATACTGGAAACGAAGTTCTAGAGAATGGAAGTGGGGAGCTAAAGCCCACAGGTGACATCTCTTTCGTTTTATAATTACATGCAGACATTTCCTTTACTAGTTTATTATCTATGACTGAGTGCGTGTGCGTGTGCACGTGTGCGTGTGCACAAGTGCATGTGCATGTACGGGGCTGTCCGGGAAGCATCCAGCCATGGAGTGTGTTCTCGTTGTGTTGACAATGGCTGGATGCTTTCTGGACAGCACTTGTCTGTGCATACTCACAGATACAGGGTCGTGTTTTTATCCCCTACATTCTAGCTTGCTTTAATCACTCAAAAAATACCTCATGGGATCTGGTATAGCTCTAAAACAGCCTTTCTAATGGCTGCATAATAGTCATGGTTTGGATACCACCCTTTATTCAGTCATTTCTCTACTCAGGGACATTGACTTTTTTGGCAGGGCGCAGACAGGGCCCCATTCTGTTGCCTGGGCTGGAGGGCAGAGGCCTGATCACAGCTCACTGCAGCCTGTAACTCCTGGGCTTAAGGGATCCTCCTGTCTCAGCCTCCCGAGTAGCTAATTTTATTTTTTTATTTTTTGTGGAGATGGGCTCTCACTATATTGCCCATCTCAAAGGTGAGATGTTTGGGTTGAAAGATCTCATCTCAACTGAGAGAATGATCAAAGTCTCAATCTCACTACTCACCTTCCACTTTCAATTCCATTGCTGCCTCCTCTTGGTAAGAATGATCTCGGAAGAAGCAGGTGAAACCTCCTTCATCTGAGAACCTCACATTCCGGATTTTGAGGGTCACCTTTCCCTCACCAATAGTGTCTTTCAGCAGTTCTGTCCGACCGCGGTATTCAGGGGCCTGCTCTCCATCTTGGTCCTTGCCATTTCGGTAGAGATGAACCACCCTAGAGAAGGGGGGCCGGTACCACCCCACCTCCATGCCTGTGGCATTCTTCCCAGGAGACACACGGCATGGCAGTTCCACTTCATCTCCCACCAGAGCCCGGATGGGGTGCCTTGGTCCTATCACTCTGAACTGTCCTGTCCAAGACACCAAAGAGAAGAACCGAGGTTCAGAGGAACCTTGGTAGGCAGGCGTGTCGTGGGCAGGGCTGCTTCAAAACAGGGAAGGAAGGCACTCAACTTTTAAGCAGAATTCTAGAGCCAGGGAAGAGTACAGTTTTTCTTCTTGAGAAAAAAAAAAAGCCTCTGTGGATGCCTTGGACAGAACGTTCTTGCAATCATCTCATCCCGACAGATACTGCCCACCTTTTTGCCAACTGTATCCATCTCTGACTCTTCTGTCCCACCTTCAGGTTTCACCTTGGAAGGTGACCCGGAACCTCCCCTGGGCCTCCCGGTTTGGACTTGGCCAAATTTACCTGTTCTCCCCTTAGAGAGTTTGCTGCCGTCACTCCACCCACTCGAATCTCTCTCCACCCTCCGTCCTTTGTTCTCCAAATTCTCCTCTGAGATCTTGCACCCTGAAGGTAGCTATGGCTCATTCTGCTTTTCCCTGTTCCCGCAGCCTCACTGCAGCTTCTGGATCCTGCTCTGACCACATTCCCGGTCTTTTTCCTATGCGGAAATGTTTTTCAAGTCAGACCCTGAGCTACTAGGAGATAAGGCTGGTTTCTCCCTTAGACCTGGGAATGCCTCCCCAGGGAGTGGAGGACCGGGGCCTCCTGTCCCAGTCAGGTGGCTCCCTGAGGTCAGGAGTCTGTGTTGTCTTTCATCTCTCCTCTGCGGAGAAGAGCAGGGCTCCTTTATAAAACTCATTGGTGCCCGATTATGCAGAGCAAACTCTCAAATATGACATGATATTATCATTCCACAAACTTTTTTTGAGATTTACTATGGACAGGCACTGCTAAGCATGTCATATATATCATCTCATTTTACCCTGACAACAGCTTCAAGAGGTTATTATTTTATCCCCCTTTGAGAGATGAAAGGCTGAAGCTGGAAAGATGGGTTAGCACCAGTCCAAGGACAGCCTTCACTTAAAGTCACATTAAAGAGTGTGGACTCTGGTTGGAAGGCTGTAAGAAGCCACTTGAAGGTTTCCAGGAAGAGAGCCGTGCCAGCAGATCCCTGTTTAGAAAGGTAACCCACACAGCAGCTCCAGGGTGACCGAAAGAGGTGGCCTCTGGAAATTAGTCTTTCTGTTCTGGGGTCTCCCCAGCGCAGGAATAATGTGTCTTACCTGCATGGCTGGAAGGCAGCTGGAGGAGGACGAGGAGAGAGAGGAGGCAACTGGGCAGAGAGGGGCTTGCTAAGCTTGCCATCTCCACTGTTCCTAGGGACAGAGAGCCCCGCAGCAGCATCAGGCCAAGCAGAGGCCCTTGGGGTACATGTCCCATGCCACTGAAAAGCCCGAGGGAGGATCTGTACGGCAGCGCTGCCCAGGCCCTGCCTCCACCCCGGCCGTGCCACAGCTGTGCCGGTAGGAACAGCCCCACGTCACCCTTGCCAGGCCCGTATACAAAAGGCCTACAGACCGAGGGCATGACCAGGGTTGCCTCCCCCCGCCCCCCGGGGAACGGAGCAGCGGCTGCCTGGTACTGGGCTTTCCCCCCCGTCGTGCCCCGGGAGGCACGGCCTCTGAGGGGTTTCTGGGGGCTGATCTGTGGAGATCCTCACTCACTGGACCTCAGGAAGGGGCTTGTTCATGGAATCTAAAGAGATTATTGTTGGCTTAAAAAAAAAAAAAGAAAAATTTTAGACTTGGTTTCCTATTTCGGTTGTCTCACAACGGTTATTACCAAACCATTCTTCCTATTGTCTGACCTCCCTCCCACGACAAATCCAAACTCCCTTCCATGTGTTTAGATATGTGACGGGTTGCTTGGGCTTAGTTAGATTCTTGCTCCGAAGAAATGCATTTAGGGAAGTCAGGAGTTGACTGCGCTCAGAGAGGCAGGGCTGGAGGAAGGAGGATGCGGGGCAGCAGCTGTCAGGCTGCACAGGCATGGGGACAGAGCCACATGCGGGCATGTCCCCAGCCTTGGCATTGCTTTCGGATTCCTCAGTGTCAAAGGGGAAAGTGAGATCCAGAGTGGAAATAGGACCTTATTTCTTATCCCTGGACTCAACTGAGACCTGCAAGGGTGACACCAGCATTGGCATCAAGTATCAAAAATATATTTTCCAATCTTAGGGCGAGCATGCCTCATCAAATAAGAAAAAAGGGTCAAAATGGACAATTTAGAGCCACACTATCTAATGCAGTAGTCGCTTGCCACAAGTGGACATTTACATTAAAATTAATTAATTTAAATGAAGTAAAATTAAACATTTGTTCCTTGATTGCACTAACCGTGTTTCAAATGCTTACTAGCACTGTAGTTGGTGATTACCATATTGGACAGCATAAACATAGAGCGTTTCTTCCCATCGTCACAAAAAATTATGTGGGCAGCAAGGGGTAAAAGTATAGCTGAGACACACATTCTTGCTTTTGTCCGGGATGGGTGTGGGGGATAGAAGGACAGATTCTGGTCAGCTGAGTCTGAGACTTGCTTATTCTTTCTCCCTGCAAGGCAGCTGGAGTCTGGGCACAAGCAGTTTAGCTGCCCTGGAGCTGTGTGGTTGAGAGTCAAGGTCAGAGGGGTGAGTCCCATGGAAAAGGGGCCACTGTGGATCCCTGGCTTTTTCTCAGATGGGGATTCACTCCTTTGGAACCTAAAATATCCTGGGATACTCTTCCTCCATGATGCACATCCAGGTAGGAGATTATGCAGAAGATGCTTTCTGGGCAGGGTGGCAGGGTGCTTGCAATGTCCGGCACAGGCCAACTGTCAAAAGCTGGATGGGGGGTTAGGATGGAGGGATGGAGAGCAAGGAGGGTCAGGAACTAGCCAATCAAAGCCACTCTGGAGAAATCACAGCATCTCCGAAAAAAACCAAACCCAAACAAAACAAAATCCAACCACTTTACTGAGAGGTTCCGTGTGTCGCTGTTCTAAGCGGTTTACTTACATTATTAGCTCACTTAATCCTCACAATAGCAAGACTATTGACTATTAACACTCTTATTTTACAGATAAGGAAACAGAGGTACAAAAGAGGTGAGGTAACTTGTTCAAGGTCACACCGCCAGGGAGTGGCACAGCTGGGATTCCAAGCCAGGCTTTCTAGGCCCAGAACTGGTACTGTGACCACACGCACACAGCCTCTGAGGAGCTCACCTTACTCACCTCCATGCCTCAAACCTCCTGATAGGGCAGATTCCTGGAGCCGTGGGGAGCAGTCCCTGGGATGCTATGGTCTTTGGGCAAAGGTGATATACACAGGGGAAGGGGAGAGGGGCCACCAGCAAAATGAAGCCCTTAGTGTTTCCATGTAAAGAAATCTGGGGTGCAGGAGCATGATGTGGATGTGTTCAAGAGGTGAAACCATCCTGTATCAGTCAGAGCTGGCCACTTCTTTCAGCACTTAAATGTTATTTTAATTGATTTTCAAGTATTTTCAAGTTGCTTCTTGTTTGTGTTTCTCTCCTCAATAATCTCAGTTTAATCTGCATCTCTCACCATGTCTAATGACAGGCCATATACAAAGTGACACACTCTAAATACAATGAATGTGTATGATAATTAGCACGCTGTCCATATGTGAAATAGTAAACATCAGTGAATGGTAGCTACCTACACAGTTACCCAGTAACAGTACTGTGTAAGATTTTCCACATAATGTGTAAATATATATTTCACACTATTTGTCTATTATTGAAAATGATCATAGATACACTGTTCTTTTTGTGTTGTACAATAATGCATAATTTCACATTAATACATAATATAGCTTTCTTGTACTTTTATTATTATTTTTTTTCCCTCAAGTCTTTTATTTTCTGAGTTAAAAAAAAAAAAGCCAACACAACCGAAAAAACTGACAAAAGGAGGACAAAGCCTCAGGATGAGCCAGAGACCACATGGCAGGACACAGGCTGCAGGTCGGGCCTAGCTGGGTCTGCAGAGACTTCCCTGGGGGCCAAAGTCCTGAGGCCTTGGGCATTTGGGGTTTGCCAGGGGAGAGGTGGGTCATTTAAAAAATATATATACTGTACTGTTAGGGACCGACCTTCCACAGGCCCACCGGACAGAAAGCAGAGACATCGAGGATGTTCACCAAGAGGAGGGTATTTCTGGCTAGCAGGGTCCAAGCCCCAGAGCCACCACGCAGTGGTCACTCTTGCAGGCAAGGACCCGACTGGGTTGCAGCGTGCCTTTTATCCCTATGGTGCATACGCTATGCAGTGGCTGATCACGCGTGGTCATGCATTGACCTTTAACATGATTGGTTGGCTGGCAGCCCCACTATACAGGGTCCGAACAATGCAAGTGGCGCAAACAAGCAAGCAAGCAACGGTTTCCATGGCAAGCAAGCAACAGTTTCCGAGCCGATGTATCGGTTCACGTGGCCTGATGGTTGCAGTCTCCGCTTCACTGGGTGGTGGGCTTGTGGTGTGCTGTCACCGCTCACTGGGTGTGGCCTGCAGGTGCAATTCTCGACCTCACATCCTCCCTTTCTTTAGAAGCTGGTCGAGCACTCTTGCTCGTCTCTTGGGTCTTCTAAAGGTTTCAAGTCTGTGCTACCTGACTAGAGCTTCTGATACTGCGGCTGCAACACTAAAAGCTGTACTGTATTAACCCTTTCTTTTACAAAGGTTATTATCTTGTTTAATATGCAGGGTCCGAATGTAAAGACTAAGAGCAGAATTACTAGTGGTCCTAATAGCGTTGAGATAAGGGTAGTTAGCTAAGGGGAGCTGCTAAACCAAGATTTAAACCAACCTGCCTGCAGCTCGTTTTCCCGCTTGCGGCGGGCAAGCCCTTCTCTAACTTTAGCCATAGATTCCCTGACGACTCCTGTGTTGGTCTGCATAGAACGCACTCTTCTCGGAGGCAGCACATAGTCCCCCTGTTGAAGGAACACTAGATCTAGCCCCCTCGATTTTGTAGTACTATTTTGGACAGGGAGGTCAGAGGCTTTTCTAGATAGGAGATAGACTCTTCTATTCTTGCAATGTTTTCATTAATGGCTGTTCTCAAGGTGCTGAACCCTCTCTGTTGCATCGCTAGGGAGGAGATACCAGTCCCTGCTCCTATTGTCCCCAAGCCAAAAAGTGTGGCCAGGGTAATGGCTGCAAGGTTCTCTTTTCTCTGGAAATTAGGTTTGTGACCCTTGGCCTGCCCTGCTGGTGTATATGGTCTCTACTGTATGGATATTATTTAGGGAACACTAACACCATAACACATATTTTAGATTCATTAAAAACTGATAGGCTAAGGCAAGGTTAAACCGGTTTTGAGCAAATCCACCTCCACTTGGCCGGGAATGACTATTTTTTTTTTCCTGATTGATTTATTACTGTTACCCCCGGCACAGAGCTGTGCATGGCTGGGTGGCACTGTTCCCAGCAGGTCCCTTGCCAAGAACTGACTGAAAAGTGACAGGGCTTTACGGTCCATTGACATGACCTAGGGAGGCTTCTGTGGAGAGTTGAAATTGACGGCCATTCCCACTGCTTCGTAGAAGGAGGCCCTATGTCATAACACAGCCAACAGACCTTGGTAGCGTTGGGATTGGACCCATTTAGGGCCTCGTATGCAGCTGTCAACATCTTCCACAGAGGATCTCTAAGTTCTACATCAGGCACCGCGCTTACGGGGCTCCCTACGGTGAGTGAGTTTGTAACTTTATCACTGGTTTGGGGTGCACCGTGGCCGGCCGTGGGTGCAGCACCTGGTTGGGCCCTACTGCCTGTGGTGACACAATCCCACTTGGCCGAGGGCCGGGCGCCCCTGGGAGCTCACTCACGCTGATGGGGCTTATTTCTTCTAGGTTAAACATAAGGTCTGGCCACCATCCGTTTACGGGGCCTACCCCCGAAGTCACATTCTAGACTTTATGAGTCTCTTGATTGGCAATCTCTCATGTGAGGTTATGAGGTTGGTGGGGATTGCTATTTATCACGGCTGCCACACTCCTGCCCACAAGCAAAGTAACCCCAAAGCACCCACATAAAAGATATAAACAAGCCTAGCATGCATCTCTGCGACGAGTCCAACTCTAGGTGCTACAGTCCAAGTCCGACTCCAACTAGTATGACCAGTACTCCAAAGAGGACTGGAGTCACTAAGTTCATCTATGCTGGTGTCACTCGGGTCAGCCTGGTCTTTAGGGGGTTCTCCGGATCCACCGTTGCCTTCCACTGGCTCTGGCACTGCTCTTGGTCGCTCTTGCTAGCCGACCTCACGTGGGAGTGGTGTATCCAGGTTGATATTCCATCCGCCTTGAGGGCAGTGGGAGTACAAGGATAACTTGAAAGGGGCCCTTCCATTAGGCTCGAGGTTTGCTGTTATGTCTTTTTACCACACCCAGTCCCCGACTGGTGTGGGTGATAGAATGTTCAGCACTACCCGCCCCAGCCGGTGGCCTGGTATATGGCGCGGAGGCCGGCCACACTCGGCTGTGAACGCGCTGCGAGCTTAACGGCTTGCAA